CCTGGACTATGGTCATTACTCTATTGTAGAATTCTTCTTTGTCTCCTTCATCACTTTCATTAGTTGGTGCGTAGCATTGTATAACATCTAGGTTGATGCTACGTTTCTTTGTTCGAAAGGTTACTAAAAGACTTCTAGGTCCATGGGCCTCCCATCCAATGAGTGCTCCTTGTGCTGCCCTTGATAGCATCATAGCAACACCCAGGGTATGTGGGGCATTGTCTTCTTCGTGTCCCGAAAATATCACCATCTCTCCTGAGATTAATCTCTTCTGTCCCCATCCAGTCCATCTTGCTTCACTAATTCCGAGAATGGTGAGCTTATAGCTCCTCATCTCAGCGGCTATTTGTGCCGCTTTACCAGCCTCGTACATGGTGCGGACATTCCAAGCGCCAATGACGGTGGTAGTCCTGGTAGAGATGATGGTTGTCGGCTTAATAGCTTCCAGGTTTCGGTTTTCACTATTAGGCGTCATATTTTCCTCCTCAAGGAATCCATCCTCTCCCAGGACTGTAATGTCTTTTGTTACTCTTTTCGGTGCTTTTGTAACTAAAATACTATAATACTTAAACTTGCCGTTTTATAAAAGAAACGAAAGGGAAACACAAAAAGTGAACAAGAAAACCAAAATAAAAAACTTATAATAAAACTTTATGTTAGCAATAACTAAAAGTTTATGATTTCCAACGGAGAAAGGTAAACTCTCACATGCACACCATCTGATCCAAGGTGTCCCAATTATTTGATTAATTCCCCCTTCCCTTTTTAAAATCTGTTTTCTTGGGGTTGTCATTGAAAGTAGTGTTGTCAGTCAATAAAAGTTCAGCATTCGATCAAAATGTGTTTATCAATAAACTCCGCCAACATCATGTTTTCAAAAAGTTAAAAATTTTAAGAAATTTGGTTTGGGATGTCCAATTATTTAATTTACATAGCTGTTGAGGCCTTCAGTTTGTTTTAAAAAATAATGTCACAGAAGAGTCGATCAACGGCACCGGGACAATAATTCACTTCATAACATTTCAAGAATCCGTTTATTTAATATTTCAGTTGTTTTGTTTGTTTGTTGATTTTGGGGGGGATCAAAATGACGCCCCTAGAATATAGATCAAATTGATGCCCCTAGAATATAGATCAAATTGATGCCCCTAGAATATGAATCAAAATGACGCCCATAGAATATAGATCAAATTGATGCCCCTAGAATATAGATCAAAATAACGCCTCTAGAATTTGCATCAAAATGACGCCCCTAGAATATGAATCAAAATGACGCCCCTAGAATATGAATCAAAATGACGCCCCTAGAAAATGGATCAAATTGATGCCCCTAAAATTTGGATCAAAATGACGCCCCTAGAATATATATCAATGACGCCCCCAGAAAATGGATAAAAATGACGCTCCTATAATATGGATCAAAATGACGCCCCTGGAATATGGATCAAATTGATGCCCCTAAAATTTGGATCAAAATGACGCCCCTAGAATATATATCAATGACGCCCCTAGAAAATGGATAAAAATGACGCTCTTATAATATGGATCAAAATGATGCCCCTAGAATTTGGATCAAAATGACGCCTCTAGAATGTGGATAAAAATGACGCTCCTATAATATGGATCAAAATGACGCCCCTAGAATATGGATCAAAATGACGCCCCTAG